TTAAGTGCCTACTATTTTAAGACATGTCCAACTTTTGTCCTCCACTTGTCCACCTACTTCATATTGTAGGCAGACTATGCTGTAAAGATAAACTAATAAGACAGGAAATAAGAGGAAAGAAAAAAGAAAATGATTTAAAAGACCTTGAGAAAGCTTTGAAAATTATGATGTAGGGCCACTTTCAAAAATTTACAAAAAATTTGGGCTTCTTGGATGCAAAGACAAAGGAAATCAAGGGTTTAAACCTTTTTGCAGATATTGTATCTGTGTTTGGATGTTTTGATTAGAATGCTTTTGGGAATTTAAATGAAGCCTTCTCAGCTGATCCTCTTTTGGACCTATTACAATACCAGATTTGTGATGTGTTTTGTGTTCTCCAATTTGCAATAAAGTGTTACTAATTGCTTTGATTTCCTCCGATGAATGATGGCTGCGTTTGGATTGAATTTTTTGTCATAGATGCCTTTTTTATTCATACTCTATAATGCTACGCTTCATGTAGCATGTTATTATATTGCTTGTGAAACCATCTCCTCTGCCTTCAAGTAAATTGGATATCACCGGGTCTGTTTTTTCCCCCTGAATAGAAATATATGCCCCACTGATGGGATGAAAACTAAAAAAAAAAAAAAAAAACAAGCAAAAAACTTGAAGGGATCCTAAGAAATTGAAAGAGGAAGCCTTCTATCACGGCAGGACTCTTGCTGCGAATGTTACCAATGGCAATCAGATTTCACACAGACTCTGTCGGAGCACAGATTGTTGTAATTATAGAAAGTTTAGGACTGGAGTGGGCTGCGGGATGTGACAGGAAATCCAAGTAGAGAAATGTCTTTYTGCACCTGCTTTCAAAGGCTCCACTGTAGCAGAACTGGAGGGATGCTCTCGTTGCCACGACAACGCGATAAACAAGAGAGGAATGAAAAAAAGATTCTGTGTATCAGTACTAATTGAAGTCAAAATCTATGATCAAATTAATTATACAATGTTTTGTGAGCACACCTGCTTTCAGTGACGATTTCTGATTTGTGTTAGCACACTGCTGCATCTCAGAAAGACATTCTTATATTGAGTTTTTTTTTTTAATTTGAATGGAAATTAAACCTGGATGCATTGCAGTAAACAAAGTATTTAGACTACCCTGATATTTTTATTCCCGGTTGTTTCAAATTAAAACCTCATTCTTTGTCCGTAGAAATGCAGGGCCTGACGTTATATTGAATGTAAATGAACGCTCATGTAATATAAGGTAGAATCGAATAAGATTCACTTTGTTGTTTACGTTCACACAAACATTCTCCC